ATATATTCTGTTGAATTTGGGTGGGAAGTTCTGTAGATATCTATCAGGTCCAGTTGATATGGAGCTGAGTTCAGGTCCAGAATATATTTGTTAAATTTCTGTCTTGATGATCTGTCTAATATTGTTAGTGGGGTGTTAAAGTCTCTCACTATTATTGTGTGGGAGTCTAAGTCTCTTTGCAGTTCTCTAAGCACTTGTTTTATGAATTTGGGTGCTCCTGCGTTGGGTGCATATATAGTTATGATAGCTCTTCTTGTTGAATTGAACCTTTTACCATTATGTAATGCCCTTGTCTTTTTTTTTTTTTTTTTTATCTTTGTTGGTTTAAAGTCTCTTTTGTCAGAATCTAGGGTTGCAACTCCTGCTTTTTTCTGTTTTCCATTTGCTTGGTAAATTTCCCTCCATCCCTTTATTTAGAGCTTGTGTTTGTCTCTTGAGGATAGCATACTGATGGGTCTTGGCTCTTCATCCAGCTTGCCATTCTTGGTCTTTTAATTGGGGCATTTAACCCATTTACATTTAACGTTAGTATTGTTATGTATGAATTTGATCCTGTCTTGATGATGCCAGCTGATTATTTTGCAGGCTTGGTTTATGTGATTGCTTCATAGTGTCACTGGTCTGTGTACTTCAGTGTGTTTTTGCAGTGGCTGGTAACAATTTTTCCTTTCCATATTTAGTTCTTTTTTCAGGAGCTCTTGTAAGGCAGGACTGGTAGTTACAAATTCCCTCACCTTTCGCTTGTCTGAAAAGGATCTTATTTCTACTTTGCTTATAAAGCTTAGTTTGGTCAGATATGAAATTCTCAGTTGGAAATTCTTTTCTTTAAGAATGTTGAATATTGACCACCAGTCTCTTCTGGCTTGCAGAGTTTTCACTGAGAGGTTTGCTATTAGTCTGATGGGTTTCCCTTTGTAGGTGACCTGGCCTTTGTCTCTGGCTGCCCTTGACAGCTTTTCTTTCGTTTGGACCTTGGGGATCTGGTGGCCTTGGGGAATCTGATGGGAAGACACATCTGATTATATGTCTTGGGGTTGATCTTTTTGTGGAGTATCTTACTGGGGTTCTCTGCATTTCCTGAATTTGAATATTGGCCTGTCCTGATAATCTGGGGGAGTTCTCCTATATGATATTCTGAAGTATGTTTTCCAACTTGGTTCCATTCTCCTTGTCTCTTTCAGATGCCCCAATCAGTTGTAGGTTTGGTCTCTTTACATAATCCCATATTTCTTGGAGGTTTTTTTCATTCCTTTTTGTTCCTTTTTCTCTATTGTTGTCTGCCTGTCTTATTTTGGAAAGATAGTCTTCAAGCTCTGAAGTTCTTTCTTCCGCTTGGTCTGTTCTGCTGTTGATACTTGTGATTTTATTCTGAAGTTCTCATGTTGTGTTTTTCAGCTCTATCAGGTCTGTTATGTTCCTCTCTAAACTGACTGTTGTGGCTACCAGCTCCTGTATTGTTTTATCATGATTCTTAGCTTCTTTGCATTGGGTTAAAACATGCTCCTTTAGCTCAGTGTAGTTTATTATTACCCACCTTCTGAAGCCTATTTCTGTCAATTCAGCCATTTCAGCTTCAGACCAGTTCTGTGCTTTTGCTGGAGAGGCGTTGCGGTCATTTGGAGGAGAAGAGGCACTCTGGCTTTTTGAGTTTTCAGCATTTTTGTGTTGATTCTTTCTAATCTTTTTGGCCTTAATCTACCTTTGTTCTTTGAGGCTGCTGACCTTTAACTGAGGTTTTTGTGGAGTCTTTTTGTTGATGATGTTGTTTTCTGTTCATTTGTTTTTCTTTTAGTAGTCTGGCCACTTTACTGTATGTAGGGCTGCTGTGGTTTGCCGGGAGTCCTCTCCAGAGCCCAGTTGCCTTGGTTTCTCCCATACCTGGAGGTATCAGCAGAGAAGGCCATGAAGCAGCAAAGATGGCAGGCAGGTCCTTCCTCTGGAAGCTCTGTCCCAGGGGGTAGGTACTTACCTGTTGTTGGCCTGCATGCACCTATAAGAGGTGGCTGGAGACCCCTGTTGGGAGATCTCAAGAAGTCACAAGGAATGGGATCAGTGACTTGCCAAAAGAAGCAGTCTGGCTGCTTTTTGGTAGAGCACATGTGCTGCGTTAAAGGGGACACACTACCTTGTCTGTACCGCCGGTATTCTCCAAAGCCGGCAGGCTGGAGCAGCCGAGTTGACTGAACCCCAGACATGGCGGTCACCCCTCGCCCCCAGAGCTCGGTCCCAGTGAGATGCCAAAGCTCTGCCCTTAGAACCCTTAGCCAGTGTATTTCTATACAACATGATTGCTTGAAATGTTAATGGGTAACAGTAGTGGGTGTTTATAGTAATATTCGTATTGTCAAGATAATATTAATTTGTTTTATTCTGTTTGAAGATGTACTGTTTAGCGAGGCAGGGAAACATTTTAGAAGCAGTTTGACTTCGATTTTTCCATTAAACACAGCTCTCTTTCAACTATTTGAAAAACTCTTATATTACTGAAAAATTAAGGGTTTATGATAGCTAGGATTTCATTATTTTATTGAAAAATAATTTAGTTCAATTGCCATTCACATTTAAATTACTTAATTAACATGAAGACTGGGATGTGAAGGAACTGATTTTCACAAATTGATATCAATAGCTATGAACTGGGTTACTGAAATACATGTGGAAAATAATAAATACTAAAAGAAATGGAGGGAAAAGTGTGATGAAAGAGCATTATATTTGTAAAAATTAATTTAAAAATAGACTGTAGAAGGAAATAATAGGAATTAATTGGTAAAAAAAGAGTATATACTATTCTGATAGATATGGAATGCAATTAAAATAGGTAATGTTCACATGAGCAATTCGTAAATCTTTTATTTATGCTTCAAGACTTGTTAAGGTCTTCCACAGAGATTATTGAGTCGCACTTTAAGATTGTAAAGCTAGAACCTCTTGGGAAAAAGTCTTTTTAGGGAAGAGTAGAGTCTTTCCTGGCATCTTAAAAAACACAGATGCATAATTAATTATATGAATGGGGCAGAAAACTTTTAGTACATCCAGTGAACAATGTTAGTGAGAGTAGACATAAACTAAAATATAATCATGTGCTAATGCAGATATCACTGCTATAATCACTATAAAATATTTATATATGTTATTTCTTGGGTTGGACTCTAGAAATTTAGTGTATGTTTCTGTTTGACTGTTGGGTACACATTTCTGTCTCCCTCTCTATAACAACTGCCTGCCTGTGACTTGTAGCTGATTAATTCCTATGTAATAGAGAAAAACTTGCACCTTTGGTTGATGGGAAGTGGGATTTGGGGTGAGACTAGATTGAATAGCAGAGATGGTAGCTTTCCTTGTGTTAAATTGTACAAGGAGCCACACAGGGTTTCAGGAGAGCTGTGAGGAATTTACTGTGACACTTTTGTAGCTCTGAGGGCTGTGAAGAGTTCATAGCTAGTAGTCATATAGAACTTGCTGGCTCAGTGCCTTTTTTTTTGGTCTTTTTTCCCCGTTTTTTGTTTGATTGGGTTTTGTTTGTTTGTTTGTTTGTTTGTTTTTGAACAGAGCATCAGATGAGTGCCAAAAAAAGAATAAAGGAAGAGGGCTAAAACAGACTTTCTTCCCTGTTAGGGTCTTAATTCCTAGTAGGTGGGAGCTGTATACCTGCTACAGCATATTGTTTTTAACTCACAAAGTTTCACTTACAATGATTTAAAAATTATATAAATGATAACATCTCATAGTTTATATATGTATACACACACATACTCTTTCTCTCTGTATATAATTAATTTTGTTCTAAGCCAAAATACAGTTTTTAAATTACCAGTTAATTTTTTAAATTTTTTTTCTTTAAGAGACAGGATCTTGCCCTGTTGCCTGGGTTGGAGTGTGGTGGCACGGTCATAGTTCAATGCATACTTGAACTCCTGGACTCAAGCAATGTTTCCACCTCAGCCTCCCCTAGTAACTGGGAATACAGGCATGTGCTACCATGCCCTCTGCTCATTACCAGTTAAATTTTAAGTAACAATATTTTCTGTGGTTATGATGTATATTCAAACAAAATGAGTGAATACATAGCTTACCTTAACTCAGAATTAAATTGGCTATGCTACAAAGAGCCATTTTATCAAGTTCTAAGTATGTGTTAAGTGAATTTGATGATGGTGTGCATTCATTCGTGACATACTTTTTGAATACTTTCAAAGTGGCAGCCACTTTTTAGGAGTTGGTATATATTCGGGTAAAACAAAGCACCTGTGTGCAGAGAGATTACATTCTAATGAAACATTTCAGTGAGAATGACCTAGAAGTATAAACACACTGGGGCCCGGACAAGTTTGTGTTTTGGAAATAGCCAGAAGGCCAGTGAAACTAGAATTAAGTGAATGAATGAACTAGGGGGAGAATGAAAGAAGTGAGATCAGAGAGCAAAGCAGAGGCCAGATCATTTAGGGCCTTAGAGACTAAGAAAGGAATTTGGATGTTACTCCAGATGTCATGAGAAGTCATTATAGGGTTTTAAGCAAGAGAGTTGCCTGATCTGAGTTATTTACATATACATACACACACACACATACATATCTGTGTGTATATATACATATATATTTTTTTAAATCACTCTGGCTAAGATGTGGAGAAGCATCAGTACAGGGGCAAAAATGGAAACAGGGACACCAGATGTTGCAGTAATTCAGATGAGAAGTAATGATAGCTTGGACTAGGGTACTGAAATGAAGGTAGTGAGACAAGGTCAGATTGATAATAGTTTTTTAAAGGTAAATCTGATAGTATCAGCTGAAATAGGGTGTGAGAGAGGTCATGGATGATTGATTCCCTAGAATTTTTGCCTGAACTGCTTAGTGAATGGTGGCTTGCTGATTTGCTGAGGTGTATGAGTGTTGGTGTCAGTTTTATTTTAAATCTTTACCTCTTAAATAAGAAATGTATTAACATTAAGTATGTAAAATATTTTTTAAAGGTCATTATGAAAACTTCTTTTTCAATAGGCGGAGTACGTCCAGCTTGTTACTGAACTTCGAATGACAAGAGCCATTCAGCCTCAGATCAATGCCTTTTTACAGGGCTTTCATATGTTCATTCCACCCTCCCTCATACAGCTTTTTGATGAATATGAATTGGTAAGGAAAAACATCAGTTCTTATGTTGTAACACAACAACACAAAACTCTAGTGATGTAATTCAGAAATAATTGTGGAGTACTATAATGAATGAAATAATGTATAAATGAGAAAAAATGGTTTAATGTCCATTTTTAGAGATTTGATATAAAATTTATGGATGTGCCTTCTCTTAAGCTTAATAACCAGATAAGCAACTCCTTAATGTGAAGTGAGATGAGGTGGTGACAAACTAAAATGGAATATATTCCTATTTCTTCTATATGGGAGATGTTGAAGGCCAGTCTTCCTATATGTGCAGTATTCTACATTATTTCTGAATTTTTTATTTGATCACATGACATAAAGGGCGCTGATACTAACTTCTTAAACTTCTAAAGAGATTTAAGAAGGTTTTTCTTATTATATAGTATTTTCTTCTCCAGTTTCTTATATTACCATATATATAATTTTATAATTCTTTATTTCAAACCTATGGAGTCCATCGTCTTTGCTGTCCTGTAGTCCCTAATGAATGTTTTGTTTTGCTACTTTAATTTGCCTTTATTGTACTGTGATCCAACAGGATTTCTAATTTTATATGATTTATGTCACATTTTTCTCCATTTTACTTTTCTCTTTAGTTTTGGTAATTTGGAGAATTATTTTTAAACTCTTTGAGTTGTCTAAATCTAAATAAAGCACAGTATTTTAAATAGAATATAGCTGCTTTCTTATCTAAAAAAATATAATTTGGAATAGTAAGTCCCAGATCAGTGGAAATACTTAGTTTTTATTCTGTCTCAGAAAATTAGTTTTACCTTATGCCTTTCATTTTAGTATATGGATACAGATAGTGATATATACCTTTAATTTTACATATGTATCAGTATTTTAAATTTATCATTCATAGTATATGTTAGCAGTGAACAAAATTTGCTAATTAATTTTGAAGTCCATTGTGATTTAGTTTCATTAAATGTAAGTTTTGAGGTTTTTTTGATTGTTTTTTAGCTGTACAGTTAATGACTTCAGTTAGCGTAGATTCATCTAGTTTTTATATAACAGTAGAAGTTATTTTCAGCATTTAAAAATGGAGGACTATTTGAGCTATTATATTATTAGACCTGACTGAAATCTGACTTTTCCTGTACTGTGCTTGGATTAAATTAGCCTTTTGAAATTCAAAACAGAGAATTAATTAATTGCTGGACCTTTATGTATGTAAAAAACAAATAGCAACAACAAAAATAATTGATGAAAACTTTGCCTTATAATTTACTGAAATCAATAAGTTTATAAAACTTTGAATTATAATATACATGCAGAAAAGGATACACATCATAAATGTATAGCTTGATAAGTTTTAACAAACTGAACATACCCAAGAAACTTAATGTCACTCTGTCATCCCCCTCCGGTCATTCTCCCACTTTAACAGTAACCATTCTCTTGACTTCTGAAATCATAGATGAGATTTGCCCATTTTAGAACTATGTAGATAGAATTTATCTGGCTTTCTTAGCTCAACTTTTTGTGTGTGGGAATCATACATATTGTTCCATGCAGTTGGTAATTTGTTCATTTTTATTGCTGTATAGCATTTCAGTTTCCTTTAGCCTTTTCTATTCTTGATGAACATTTAGTGGGTACTTTTCAGTTTCAGGCTCTTTCAAGTACTGCTGCTACAAACATGCCTTTAGGAAAACCTAAGTATGCATTCTGTAGGTTATATGCCTTGGAGTGGAATTGTTGGGACATAGGCTGTGCATGTATCCCATTTCAGTAGATGTGAGCAGATAGTTTCCCAAGTGATGCATCAATTTACACTCCCATTAGTAGGTGTGAGAGTTCTGGGTGTTCTGCATTCTCACTAGCATTTGATAATTTTCCATCTTTTTCATTTCCTTACTGGTAATTCAGTAGTGGTCTTTCCTTGAGATTTTAATTTGTGTTTACGTGATAGCTAATGAAGTTACACACCTTTTATGATTATAGCCATTTGTGTATTCTGTTTTCAAAGTGTCTATTTAAGTAATTTGTCCATTTTTCTATTGTGTTTTCTGTTTTATTTTTTCTTTTTACTGACTTGTAGGACTCTTTATGTATTCTTTTATAAGAGTCTTTTGTCAGATATATGTATTATGAATATTTTCTACTCAGGTCTTTTCAGTGAAGAAAAATTTTGGGGTTTAACATAATTCAGTTTATCAGTTTTTTTTTTTTAATGGAAGAAACTTTTTGTGTCTTGTTTAAGAAACTGTTTCTTTCTCCAAGGCTGTGAAGATATTTTTCTGTGTTTTCTTTTAAAAGCTTTATTCCTTTATCTTTCACATTTAGGTCTGTTACTGGTAAGTTTTTAATTGTGGCTCTTACATTAAAATTTGGACCAGGATTCCTAGTTTGTCTTGGACTCTGACTTTACTAAGTTGAGCTGATTCACATTTGGGAAGAGCAACATTGTAGGCATGGTCTTGATTTATGCAGTGATAATAATTATTATTAAGCGTTTAGTATTTGCCAAGTATTTTATAGGTATTAATTTTAAAAACGCACAAAAAATCTCTTGAGGTGAGTACGATTGTCCCCATTTTACAGATGAGAAAACTAGGCCAAAGAAGATACGGAACTTGTTCATGGTCATAGAGCATGTGTTAGTGGTAGGCTATGAACCCATGTTCCCTGGCCTCAGATCTCATCAGTGTTGCCAGTCTGCTTCTTGGTAGCATGAGTAATCAGAGGGACTTGGCTTCAGAACCTTTTGTGTGACTTTGTGTCTTTCATAGGGGAGCGCTATGCTACACTGACAACGGAAACTTGTAAAAAAATTTGGTGCAAACGTCTAAGCTAGATGTGCATCTGAGTTAAAAGATTCAGGTTAAATTCTAGAGTTTTAGTGAGGAGAAGGTATCAAATAGCTCCAATGTACTGAACTGGAGGTATAGTCATCCATTGTAGATAGAAGGCAGTCGTAAGTCAAGAGATGAGTATGGACTGTTCTTCCATGCTGTGCTGCTTGTGAATTTATCCATGAAAGAACCAGAATATAAAAACGTTGAATCATGTGGTGCTGGGTAAGCTGATGGCTATGAATACTTGCATGATTCAGTTTCTAACTATTAGTATGAGTTATATAACTTACAGTTCCAACAGATGAATTCAGTTATTTTGTTGTATTAAAAAGATTGATTGGGACTTAAAATTTTTATTATATGTACTTTTTATTCTGGAATTCTCATTTCATCTATTTGTTTTTGGTCAATTTAGTAACTTTTTTTGCCCAGTTGTTAGGTGGAATAATAAAGATCCTTTCGTCGTCATCTTCAAAAAAAAAATTGTAACAATGTGATATTCATGAAGTGCTTCAAATTTCTTGAGAGACTGTAGTATTAGTCATTTTTATTCATAATTATGAATAATGAAAACATACTTAATATTATTAAAAGCTTATCTTCAGCCTAGAAGGGAAAAGGATTAAACTCATGAATTGTAAGACATGCGTAAAGACTATCCCACTCCCTTTTAGCAAACCTGTATCAGAGTCCTGCCAGGGAACAGAATTTCTCCAGATGGTTCAAATATTGAAACTTTAACAAAGGGACTTTTACAGAGGTATGGGCAGTGTTAAGAATAAACAAGGTCTAGTGAGACATCCACAGACTGGCAATAGGGGAAAGCCTTTATCATCCCTAGGACTGAAGAGACAGGTAGAGGAATTACTGTGAAGAGCCCCGTAGGAGCCTGAACCACCAAGGAGGGCCCACCTGGTGGTAGCCATACTTGAGGAGCCATAGCTACTGCAAAGAGGTGCTGCAGCAGTGGGAGAGCAGAGAGTACCCTCACCTCCAAACTAACTGCCTGTGTTTCCCAGGCTCCAAACCCAATCCAAAGCCAGCTGGCAAGAGAACCAGCAGGCAAAGCAGCCAGTCTACAGTGCAAAGGAAGCTAGAGAATGTATTTGGGGGTGGTCAATGTAGACTAACTAGACTGTCTTCATCTAGGAAGAGGATTCTATAATACTGTTACTAGGAGGACTAAAACACACCCTATACTAGCAGTTCTAAAACTTTTTGGTCTTAGGACCCCTTGCAACAAAAGAGTTTTTGTTTATGTGGGTTATGTCAATCTATATTTACTGTACTTGAAATTAAAACAGAAATGTAAAATATTTTATTCACATAAAATAATCCATTATTATGTTAACATAGAGAACATTTGAAAAACTAAAATTGCATTTTCTAGAACAAAACAAATAGTGGGAAGACTGGTACTGTTTTACAGTTTTGCAAATTTCTTTAATGTCTAGCTTAATAGAAGACAAATGGGCCCTTATAACTGCTTTTGTGTATAATCTGTTTTGATATGTTGTTTGGTTGAAATATATGAAGAAAATCCAACCTCATACAGATAAGTTGGAAAAGGGAGAACCTCATGGACCCGCAGAAAAATCTCAGAAACCCTCAAGAGTTCTCAGATGTTGCCTTATATCTATCTTATTTAAGGTACAAGGTCAGCTATATGTTATGAGTAGTTACTATAGGAGACATGATTTTGAATCACACGGTGTCTACATCCCTGTAATAAGAAATCCTGGCTGGGTGCGGTGGTTCACACCTGTAATCCCAGCACTTTTGGGAGGCTGAGGTGGGCTGATCACAAGGTCAGGAGATCGAGATCATCCTGGCTAACACGGTGAAACCCTGTCTCTACTAAATATACAAAAAAATTAGCCGGGCGTGGTGGCGGGCACCTGTAGTCCCAGCTACTTGGGAGGCTGAGGCAGGAGAATGGCGTGAACCCAGGAGGCGGAGCTAGCAGTGAGCCGAGATCGCATTGCCACTGCACTCCATCCTGGGCGACAGAGCAAGACTCCGTCTCAAAAAAAAAAAAAAAAAAGGAAATCCTGATGGATGTTCTGGCTCATCAGTGTAAAGTGTAGGCCAATCATTGCCTCCCCTGTCTATGTAAGCATATCTAACTGTGAAATATGGACTGATTCAGAGAAGTGGACAGGCTCTTTTCATGTCCTCTTTTCCCTTGGAAAACAAAAAGGCAAATAGTTTGCCGTTCTTAATTTCATTTTTACTTACATGATTGAGATTTTGTGTCTTTGATTATCTTCCTGTATGAAAGAAGCCTATCAAGTCATTAGGAAGATTGCATTTTTTTTTTTTTTTTTGACTTTGGAGAAAATTGACTTTAAAGGATCCAAATTATTCCAGAATAGAATTCCTAAAAGGCCTAAATATTTTTTAAAAATCATAACTATTTTTATATTACCTCCTTTTTCCTCATGATAAGGATTTCTTGATGCTTTTCCCCTTGTTTAGTCAAGTATTTATTGAGGACTTTGTTGTCACTTCCATGTTGAGAATACTGTCCCCTTACAGAGGTTAACAAATTTGCAAAGAATTTTAAAAATATAAAGTAAATCAAAGGTAATGTTCATAAAACTTTTGCACACATAAACTGTTGTTGCATATGTTCACACATAAACATATAAACTATAATCTCTTATGTTTTAATGAAGTTTTGTCAATGTGGAAACATCTCCACATCTTATAATATTTGAGATTATCAGCGTCAAGGATTTTCTCTCATGTAATGCTTGTTATTGATGACATGCAGGAACTGTCACAAAAATGTATCAGTTTCATGTGAGATTAGTTTCTAATTAAGGCAAATTTACCATTTAAATGTAATAACTTTTTTCCCTAAAGAAAATTATTGAAATATTTTTCTTCTTCCCCCAAGGAGCTACTGCTTTCTGGCATGCCAGAAATTGATGTGAGTGATTGGATAAAAAATACGGAATACACAAGTGGCTATGAAAGAGAAGATCCAGTTATTCAGGTAAAATTTCTCTAGAGCTTAGAATGAAGTTAAGTTTTGCCGTTCAATTTTGTAAGCTTTTCAGCACTATTGAATGAAAACTTACATTAATTAACAAAGTGAAGTGTTTCCCCAAATTATTCTTGTGGGAACAGTGCATATGAAAGCTTTGCATGAAATCATTTTTGGTAAACGACTTTCGTAGAATAAAATGTGCTTTATGAATATTACATATTTCTCTGGTATTGAGAAGTCTGCAGTTGCTCTGAAATATGAGCTAAGTTTTTTTTGTTGTTGTTAGTGGTTCTGGGAAGTTGTAGAAGACATTACTCAAGAGGAGAGAGTTCTTCTCTTGCAGTTTGTTACTGGCAGGTAAGCAGTATTTTTATGATAATATGGAAATAATTTAATGTATTCTGCTTTTAATGGCTTAGAGATAACTAAAATGAGGAGTTATTACTCTGAATTGTCAGTAACTTACCACCCTTTCCACTGTTTTAGATATTAAAGATTTATTTTGGTATTAAAGATAAGACATTTATAGTAGTGATCAATCATGTTTATTTGATATATTAAAAAGGATCGCCAATAGGACTATTAGTATATTGCACTTTATAATTTGGAAATCTTTTTGCTCTGCAGGTCGGTCAAGGATAGTAGCCAAATGTTTAATATTTGTATATTGCTGGTTTGGTTTAATAGTAACGCAGTTCAGTTTATCCTGGGTAACTCATACACATACTCTATGTTATCCATACACAACAGTTTTTCTGTAATTCAGAGTAAACTTTAAAGTGTCAAGATTCATGGCCTAAAAAATAATTTGTGGTACCACACTTCTCTGAAAAGTTCACTTTTGAAACCAGTTAAATATAATAGATATTAGAAAACTAGATGATTTAACCATCTTTTAGCTTATATTTCTGAAAGATGTAAAAAAAAAGTCTGATTTTCATTTTGGATAACAGAATTTTATCTTCTGTTTATGAAAATGTAGTTTAGTTTTTTTCATTATAAATGTACATATTTCTCCTAGGAAAGTTACAAAACAAAGTTACAATAAGAAAAACCACAGTCCATCAGCCATAACCACTATAAACAATTTGATATATTTACTTCTTTGTTTTTTCTGCATATTTAAAAACTGTAATTGTGAATATATATCTATATAAAATACATATATATAATTTTTTTTTGTTTTTTTTTTGAAACAGAGTCTCACTCTGTCCCTCAGGCTGGAGTGCAGTGGCTTGATCTTGGCTCACTGCAACTTCCACCCCCTGGGTTCAAGCGATTCTGCTGCCTCAGCCTCCCAAGTGGTTGGGAGTACAGGCGCCTGCCAACACGCACGGCTAATTTTTGTATTTTTTAATTTTTAGTAGAGATGAGGTTTCACCATCTTGGCCAGGCTGGTCTTAAACTCCTGACCTCATGATCCACCTATCTTGGCCTCTCAAAGTGCTGACTTTACAGGCGTGAGCCACCATGCCTGGCCTATAATTTTTAAAATCTATAATTTTTTTTATTTTAAAAGTAGTGTTTAATCATTGTAGAAAATTTAGACAAAGGAGAAAATTAAAATCCTTAATGTTAAGTGATCCCACTATTCAGAGATAATTACAATTAACATTTTGCTTTTTTTTTTTAGTCTTCTTACTGTATAGTTAGAAAAATAGTTGGAGCCACACTATAGATCTAATTTTAAAGAATAAATTAATAGTCTGGGTACGGTACTTCTCTTGCAGTTTAGTTTGTTACTGGTAAGCAGTATTTTTATGATAATATGGAAATAATTTAATATATTCTGTTTTTATGGCTTAGAGATAACTAAAATGAGGAGTTATTACTCTGAATTGTCAATAACTTACCACCCTTTCCACTGTTATAGGTATTAAAGATTTATTTTGGTATTAAAGATAAGACATTTATAGTAGTGCCTGTAATCCTAGCACTTTGAGAGGCTGAGGCGGGCAGGTCACTTGAGCTCAGGCGTTTGAGACCAACCTAGGCTACATGGCGAAACCCTGTCTCTACAAAAATACAAAAATTAGCCAGGCATGGTGGCACATGCCTGTAGTCCCAGCTACTCAGGAGTCTGAGGTGGGAGGATCACTTGAGCCTGGGAGGTAGAGATTGCAGTGAGCTGAGATTGCGCCACTGCACTCTAGCCAGGGTGACAGAGTGAGACCCTGTCTCAAAAAAAATAAGAAAAAATAAATAAGAAATAAATAAGACATAACTATTAACAGGTTATAGACAAAATATAAAAGAAAAACTTGTTTTTTTGGTTTTGTTTTTTGCCTCTGAATGCCAAGAATTACTCAGAGACTTGAATAACTTAATAGAAAGGATGAAAAAAATCATTATATTTTTTATGTAAGAAAGTTGACAATTTGACAATTCAGATAGGAGAAAAAAACCCACCTCCAATCTATTCCTAAAAATAATCACTGATAACATTTTTGTTATTCTTCTAGAATTTTTAACACATATATATAATTTTTACTCTTAAAACCATTGTTATTTTATAACTTTTTGAATTTAGCAATATGTTACTAAATTGTTCAATTTATAGATCTATGTAATTTTTAGTGGCTTTCTAGTTTTCTTTTTAGGGAGTTCCTTTAATTGATTCTTTATTGCTAAATTTTCCTATTTATGGAATAATGCTGTACAAATAAGGAATTTTTGTGCTTCTGTCCTAGTGGGACAGTCTGATTATAGAAGATAAATTCTTAGAAGGGAAATTTTTTTGTATGAGAATATATAAATTTTAATAATCTTGATACATATTTATCTTCTAGAAGGGTATTGATGTCAGTAGAGAATGAGAGAGCTTACTCCTTTTATCAGCACAGGGTATACTCATTTTTACTTTCTTTTTTTTTTTTTTTTTTTTTTTTTTAAGACAGAGTCTGGCTCTGTCGCCCAGGCTGGAGTGCAGTGGCACAATCTCGGCTCACTGCAAGCTCCACCTCCTGGGTTCACACCATTCTCTTGCCTCAACCTCCTGTGTAGCTGGAACTACAGGTGCCTGCCACCACACCCGCTAATGTTTGTATTTTTAGTAGAGACAGGGTTTCACCTTGTTAGCTAGAATGGTCTCAGGCAATCTCCTGACTTCGTGGTCCACCCACCTTGGCCTCTCGAAGTGGGATTACAGGTGTGAGCCACCGTGCCTGGCCCATTTTTACTTTCATATAATTTCTTTTATGTAATTTTTTTGTGTGTGGTATGAATTACCTGACTTTATTCTTTGTTATTCCACAATCACTTTAAAAATTCAGTTTTAAGTGTTGTTTATATATTAGGGGTATTAACTCTGCAAATGGTTTTCTTGGTTTATCAAAGTTATATATACAGATTTCCATGTAATTTAAATTTATAACTTGTAAGTTTTAAATTACCGTATTGCCAAGATGATTGTTGTTACTTTCCTTTGTGGTTTTATAAATGCTTCCCTACTTCTAAGATTTTATATATACGTTTATATAAATTTTTTAATGTAAGTTTTTATAATTTCTGTTTTTACATTCCAATTTTTAAGCCATCTGAACTTTATTTTGGTTTATGTTGTCAAGTATATTTTTCTAAATGGTTTATACTTCGACACCATCTAGTGAATTATTATATTTTCCCCATGATTTGGTCAGTATGAGTCTTTAAGATGCAGAAATCAGTTATTCAAGTTTTTTAGTACTAAGTTGTCTCTTAGGTGGCTGCTCCTGTAGAGTAAAACACTAGAATTAGTAATATACAAGGCTTCTCCACTTTAAATAGTACAGTCATTGCTAGCAATGCTGAAAAGAGGTGTGCTATTCATTATTTAGTTATGAAGTGTGGCAAATCCACACTTGAATGGAGGTGAAAGATGTGGGTGAAGAGTAGAAGCCAAGGAAGCTGAGGGGAAACAACACGGAGCTAGCTTCACCCCTTGGACAGAAGAATCCACCTTTCAACATTGGAGCTCTGTATTTTGAGTTCAAACTGAGAAAGTTTTAAGCTTTTCAAAATTTTAAATTTTACCTCGAACTCCGAGTCGTTAGTATAGATATAGTACTTGTCGTTCAAAACCAAAAGTGCAAATTTTTTTCTTTTTTAATTTTTGGAAAATTCTGATTCTGTATTAGTTTTATTTAGATACTGACGTATCTTTCTACAGGTCTGTAGTATAATTTAGTGCAGCCTTACTGAAAGATCAAATGTGTTCCAATTGTTGAACCAAGAATTAATATAAAAAGTGATTTTTAAATATTTTTATAGTATTGACATTAATATTTCATAGCTCTATAAGGCCATCTTTAATGTTTTACTGTTTCATTATCCCTTAATCCCTTAAGAATCAGACTTGATTATTTCTTTTTTTTTTTTTTTTTTTTTGAGAAAGAGTCTTGCTCTGTTTCTTAGGCTGGAGTGCCGTGGCACAATCTCAGCTCAGTGCAACCCCCGCCTCCCAGGTTCAAGTGATTCTCCTGCCTCAGCCCTCCCGAGTAGCTGGGATTACAGGCGCCTACCACCACGCCTGGCTAGTTTTGTATTTTTAGTAGACATGGAGTTTCACCGTGTTGGCCAGGCTGGTCTCGATCTCCTGACCTCAAGTGATCCACCTGCCTCAGCCTCCCAAAGTGCTGGGATTACAGCTGCGAGCCTCTGTGTCCAGCTGATTTCTTTTTTTTTTTTTTTTTGAGATGAAGTCTTGCTCTGTTGCCCAGGCTGGAGTGTAGTAGCTTGATCTCAGCTCACTGCAACTTCCACCTTCTGGGTTCAAGTGACTCCCCTTCCTTAGCCTCCAATTACAGGTGCACACGCCACTTTGCCTGGCTAATTTTTGTATTTTTAGTAGTGACGGGGTTTCACCATGTTGGCCAGGCTGGTCTCTAACTACTGGTCTCAAGTGATCCACCAGCCTCAACCTCCCGAAGTGGTGGGATTACAGGCGTGAGCCACCGCGCCCGGCCAATTACTTTTTAAATAAAATAGAAGTATGCCATTTTTGTTTACTGTAATTTATACTGTATAATCTAAGTGTCATAATATTCAACCAAAGACTTTATTTTTCTCATACATACTTACGCCTGATGAATTATTATCTTAACATGATCAGATCTAATTATATAAGTAGGGGGCCAGCCATATTTATTCATAGTATAGGAAAAGAGGAGTAAGGTTTCAGGAATGGCTCATGAATAACAGCTTATAGAATAATTTTAATTAAGATGTTAAAACTAGAGGATCTTCTGAATTTTTAGCTTACTGTTCAAAATTTACTTGTGTGAAGGACATTAGATTGATCATACTTGTATTGAAATACTGTGCTATAATTTGTATAAAAATCAATGTCAACATTTATTTTCTCATCTTGATAAAATAGTTACATTTAATTTGAAATTCTACCACACAAGATATTCAGAACGGCTTGATTTTTATCCCTTTTTATGTTTGGTCACCTTGTTAATTTTTTGGGCAAAAGTTAAATATATAAATTAACTAATGTTGAATTTTATTTCAACTTACAAAGAGATATAGCCAGATGTTCTTTATATATTCTCTTGCTATTAGTAGGAATTGTTTATGCATTAGTGTCTTATAAGCAAGATTCAGGCATACTTTTAATATTGCCTTGGTTTACTGAGGTAAGCTCAAGAATTTCATCAGTAAACCAAACCAGACGACTTCCCAGATAGAAGAGAAAGTTGCTGTTTTTAGGGATTCTTTCATATTGGATTGTTAAACGTTTTTTTCCCTGAGGATGTATACATATCATCAGTGATTTCAAATAGACAATCCTGGTACATTTTTTCAACTTTGTGTGTGTGTGTGTGTGTGGGCGTGTGTGTGTAAATGCACATCATAAAATCATTTAAACAATTTTTAAGTGTGCACTTTTGTGGCATTAAGTATTCACATTGATGTGTGACTATCACCACCGTCCATCTCCTGAATTTTTTCATCTTTCCCAGCTGAAACTCTGTACTCATTAAACACTAACTCCCCATCCTCCTTCCCTACCCACCTCTAACAACCACCTATTTTATGTCTATGAATTTGACTACTCTAAGAACTTCATATAAGTGGAATCATACAATATTTGTCTTTTTGTGATTGCTTTATTTCACTTAGCATAAAGTCTTCAAGGTTCATCCATTTTGTAGCACATGTCAAAATTTCCTTCATTTTTAAGGCTAAATAATACTCCCTTGTATATATACACCACACTTTGCTTATCCAGCCATCTGTTGATGGACACTCGGGTTGCTTCTACCATTTGGCTATTGTGAATAATGCTGCTATGAACATGGATGCGCAGATACTTCTTTGAGTCCGTGCTTTCAGTTCTTTTGGATATATACCCAGAAGTGGAATTGCCTGATTATATGGTAATTCTGTATTGTAATTCTGTTAATTTTGTTGAGGAACCTACATGTTGTTTTCCACAGAGGCTGCATCATTTTACATTCCCAGTGGCAATTTCTCCACATCCTTGCCAATACTTGTGACTTTCTGTATTTTGTTTTTTTGATGTTTTGCCGATAGTCATCTTAATGAGTGTGAAGTGGTTTTGTTTGGCATTGCCCTAGTAAATAGTGATGTTGAGCATCTTTTCATGTGCTTATTGGGCATTTGTTTATCTTTTTTTGGAGAAATGTCTATTTCAATTCTTTGCACATTTTTAATCAGGCTGTTTTGGGTTTTTTTGTTTGTTTGTTTGTTTTTTTGTTTTGTTTTTTTGCTATGGGAATTCTTTATATGTTCTCGATATCAATTTGGTGTCATATTCAATAAATCATTGCCAAATCTGGTGTTATGAAGCTTTTCCCTTATATTTTCTTCTAAGAGTTTTATAGTATTAGCTCTTACATTGAGGTCTTCAATCCATTTTGAGTTAGTTTTTAAGTTACTTAGTGTAAAGTAAGGGTCCAACTTCATTTTCGTTGTAGTGAATATTCAGTTTTCCCAACACACTTCGTTGAAAAGACTCTTTTCCCCTTTGAATGTTGTTGGCACTCTAGTTGAAAATCATTTCATTATGTATGTGAGGGGTTATTTCTGGCCTCTATTCTATTCTACTGGTTCATGTGTCTCTTTTCTTGGCAGTATCACACTATTTTGATTACCACAGCTTTGTAATAAGTTTTGAAATCAGGATATGTGAGTCTGCCACCTTTGTTGTTTTTTTTCTAGACTGTTTAGGCTATTTGAGGTTCAACTTTTTTTTTAAGTGAACTAAACTGTGCTTTATTTTATAAATCATATTTTTAAGAAAGTATTTTAAATTTTATTCAGATGTTTGCAAGTATGTATTTAGTAATCTATACACTAAGTGTTCCTTTGTCATTATTCTAATTTATCCAAAAAGCACTGTAGCACCTCATTTTAAAAGCAATAGAATGTTTTTTAGTATCGGTTTAATCATGATACATACACAGGCTAACTTTAGAAGAAATATTAATTTTATTTTTGATGTATATATAACTTGAGAAGTTGTAATTACATCCTCTACAGTCAAGTACCCAAGATTAAATTTTCTACTGATGTGTTATGCATTATATGTTAACCTTCCTGTGGTCTCTTTATGTTCGGTGATGTTTGAAAACTATGTTTGATATTCTGAATATCAAATCAAAGAGGAACATAAAGAATTTTTCAGTTTTTCCACTATGAAAAACAAAACAAAACACCTTTAGGGCCTAGATATTTTTCACAAACAAGGAAATCATTTGGATTACATGTCAGAGCATTTATTGCTTGAATTAATCAAATATTAATCTATTAACAATTTAATGAATGTCTACTCCAGGCATTTTGCTAGCCCCAGGGATATAGATGTAAATATGACTTGTTTGGGCTCTCAAATAAGCCCCACTTCAATAGAGAGCCACATGAAAGCAAATAATTGTAAATGTAGCATGCTAAATGCAATATTGAGGTATGTGCTGTGGCCAATATTGAGGTATGTGCAAGCATAGTGTAGCTATGGAAATGTGTAGGGGTGTCTCCATGGAAGGTTGCTAACTAATCACAAAGCAATTTACAGTAATGAGTTGGAGTTTTGTAGACTAAAAAATGTCATGTTGTCATTGTCCTAGAGTTGGATATATTTCTACCCTAATTTAGAACTTGAAATTTATCTGTCACAAATATCTTTCTTTCATGATTACAATGTATTAAGATATAAACTCTTAGTTCCAGGGTCCCACATGGTGGGTTTGCTAATATCATGGGTGGAAGTGGATTGCAAAACTTTACAATCGCTGCTGTGCCATATACTCCAAATCTTTTACCAACTTCAAGCACATGGTATGTTGAATTGGTTTATTTAAATGCTTTACAAATTGTTTTGATTAATTTTGAATGATCAGAGGTCTAACTGTTGCTGCATTGAGAGGAAAACCTCAGCTGTGATCTCACTCCAGGATTTTGGAATCATTGATAACAAATTATGTAGTTTTTTGTGCCCCTGTTTTTGGGAGGGAAAATGTTTGAGGAAACCCTAATTCCCTACAATTTAATTGACTATAGTTCAAGTATCACCAAAGTTACACTATCATAAGTAGCACTGAGTTACACACCATCACTTCAAACTAAATTGCCCTATTGCTTATTTATTTTAAGCTGAAAAGAACTTATTTTCTTCCACTGCATTTGCATGCTGAAAGAAACTGCAATGCAGCAGATTTTTTCTTCTTTTTAAATACCACTTTAGGGTTTTTCAATTTGAATGCAAATTTGAGAGGATGGTTTTATGTTAATTTTGAGTAGTGTTTTCACTTCTAGACAAAACAATCAGAAATTTTATAGATTTCCTGTTTAATGGTGGTGTATTTTTCTTTTAAAGCATCAACATGCTCAAGTTACCTGAATACCCAAGTAAGGAAATACTCAAGGACAGACTTCTTGTGGCACTACATTGTGGCAGCTATGGTTACACAATGGCATAATGAAGTCTGGAAAACTCATCTGACTACTGATGCACAATTCAGAATGGCAGAAGTAATTTGGGAAAATGTCAACAAAAAAGCAGCCTAAATGCAACCCATAGGCAGGGCTGATGCTTCAAATTTATAAAAGATCATCAGGTTTTCTGTTTCTGTCTTTTCCCTTTTATGTTTTCTCTGTTTGTGATACAATTAGAAAATATAAAATCACAGTAGATTTTATTTTTTAAAATGCTAATTGAAAGTAGTAGAGACGCCGGGCGCGGTGGCTCAAGCCTGTAATCCCAGCACTTTGGGAGGCCGAGACGGGCGGATCACGAGGTCAGGAGATCAAGACCATCCTGGCTAACACAGTGAAACCCCGTCTCTACTAAAAACACAAAAAACTAGCCGGGCGAGGTGGCGGGCGCCTGTAGTCCCCGCTACTCTGGAGGCTGAGGCAGGAGAATGGCGTAAACCCGGGAGGCGGAGCTTGCAGTGAGCTGAGATCCGGCCACTGCACTCCAGCCCGGGCGACAGAGCAAGACTCCGTCTCAAAAAAAAAAAAAAAAAAAAAAAGAAAGTAGTAGAGACTGTCGTTTTTCGTAATTAATTTTATCCAAGATTGTATTAAGGCAAAATCTGATTCTGCATTCCACCTCTGCTGTGTAACTATCTTATTAAAAGGAGGTTTTCTCCTAATTTCTGATACATTATATGAGGTCATCCAGCTGGTATGTTCTTTTGCATGTGAAGTACCATTTATATTTTAGAAAACTATTGTATAGAATGGATTAATTTAGATTGTCTATAAAGCCACAAATACGTATTTTCCCACAGTGTATTCTATATTGCAATGATTTTTTTAGCATTTTAATATTTTAATATACATTGTAAAATTTAGACTAACAGTTGATGAAATGACATCTAATTTATATATTAAAGCTTACACTATATTGTATGAATTATTTGCATCTTTCAGTGGACAGTTTTCCATATGTACATATTATGTCTCCATGGTTTTCTTATGCCTCATTTTAATTTGTAATGAAGGTAAAATTAAAATGTATTTTACTACATTTCTTTTCATTACTTTTATCTGTGAACTTTGACACATCTGAAAAAGTAATCTGATGTGCAAATTATAATTTAAATATGTTAATTTTTTTACTTCTTAAATTTGCTTTTCTTCATTAAATTGTCAAGTTCAAGTGATATGTGCCTAATATCACTTGGGTGTTGGGTTTTTGAATTTTTGGGTAATCAGTTTTATTTTGAAAAGACAGACTTGAATAGTTACAGCATATGTTTGAACAGGAAGTAGGAACATGCATACACGAAGAAATGCTAATGGAAGGATTTGTAATGTTTAGGATCTTCCCTTGGAAACTAAAAATAGTATATTAATGACATTACTGTTTGTAGAATGACATATGCAGATTTTCTCATAAGCAGCCATTATGTTTGTCAGTAACGTTTGAGAGACATGTAAGTTGAAAGTTTTGCTAAATTATAAAGCTCCTTTAATACATTGGTTTTGGTTCTCTTGTCTTTTCTAAATGTTAACAAAATATATCTTAACAGATTACATGAATTTAGGAATTATTTAAAAATTACCATTAGCTCTAAAATTAAGATTCAGATGTGTTATTTATAGTAACTGAAGCTAATAATGTTTTATGTTTTGATTTTTTGAAATTTAATTGTAGAAGTCACTGCCTTCTGAGTTTTCCAATAGATAACCACTTTTAATATTACATTGCTTATAATACTAATGTTTACACATATGTTTCTGTTTATAACCATACAATACATTGGCTCTGTCATATTAGTTTTTTTGTAAGTAGTTATGTAAAAGAGATAGATAATAAAATATTAAATAACTGAGTGTGGTGGCTTATGTCTGTAATCTTAGCGTTTTGAAAGACTGAGGTGGGAGAATTGCTTAAACCCAGGAGTTCAAGACCAGCCTAGACAACATAAGAAGCCCCATCTCTACGAAAAATAAAAATAAGCTGGGCATGGTGGCATGTGCCTGTGGTCGGAAGGCTAGGTGCGAGATAGCTTGAGCCCAGGAGGTCAAGGCTGTGATGAGCCCTGATTATGTGACTGCACTCCGGCCTGTGAGACTTCGTCTCAAAAAAAAAAAAAAAATATATATACACACACACACACACACACACACACACACACACATATATATAAGAGTATTTTAACCATGAATTTGAATAGTTTAAAATATAGATCTGGTTATTTCAGGATTTATTTTTTCACATTTTTGAGAGTGTAGTTAATATAAAGAGATTTTACAAAGATTAAAAATACTATTTGGAGGTAGCATCTTTCTAATTTACTCCATTCTCACAATTTCTTCTATATATGTAGATGGATATGTTGAATGCAAGGTAGTGTAGAAAAATGATTAGATTTTTACCTTTGAGAAAACCAAGATTATATTAATAGGAAAATGACTCAATTCTTAAAACATGGTAGTTTTATATAAGGAAGAAAACAGAAATAAAACACTCAAAAAGAACATAATATAGGGAATGTACAGGAAACTGATTAATGAAAATATCTGGGCGGAGTAGATTAAGTTATCCAAATAGTTTGAGGGGATAGTTATTAACCACATAGTTAATAAAATCCATTTTCGAGTTAACCCCAAAACAAAATATAATAGAAGGAGATCCCAGCTTGGAAATAATCTGCTGAACACAGCCTCTACTGTTCAGGCAGTCTTTTGCGTATTGGGGAAACGCAAGCTTTAAAGGGTAGGTCACAGGTTGGAGGCCCAGTAGATGATTCCTACTCACATGTTTTGTCTGTCATACTGTCTGTAAAATTTTGAATGAGTTATCAACATTTTACAAAACCTGAAGATTTCATGCAGAAGTCGGGAGTTTTGGGTCCTTTTGAGCAATGAGGCAATTTGACAATACTGGGTGCATGGGTGCGTATTCCTACAAAGCATTTTTAGTACTCTGGAATTGAGTAAATGCTGCTGCTTTGAATAACTAAATGCCCTATCCAGTTTGCCATTTCCTCTTCTCTCTCTTTCCCTTCTATTTTCTCCCGCTTTTTTTGTTTTTGTTTTTGTTTTTGTTTTTATTTTTGTTTTACTCTGTTGCCCAGGCTGGAGTGCAGTGACATGATTTTGGCTCACTGCAACCTCCACCTCGTAGATTCAAGTGATTCTTGCTCCTCAGCCTCCCAAGTAGCTGGGATTTTAGGCATGCACCATCACACCCGACTAATTTTTGTTTTTTAGTAAAGACGGGGTTTCACCTTGTTGGTCCGGCTGGTCTTGAACCCCTAAGGACCTCAAGTGATCCGCCTGCCTCAGCCTCCCAAAGTGCTGGGATTATGCCACCACGCCCGACCAGTTTGCCATTTTCTTAGCCCAGCATGCTTCACAACTCTATGTTATCTTCCTGGCCATTGAAAGCATTGCAGTCTGCTTTAAAGAATCTATCTTTATCAGAAGTGTTCCCTTGGATTGTAAATTGCTACAGATTGTTTGGAAGACAATTTGGTAGCACCACCAGATTTTTTCAATGTACGCAGAGTCTTTGACACAAAAATTCTAAGAATTTATATCTTAGGGATTCACTTGTTCATGTATATAAGGATATTTGTCCAATAATACTGAAGCCTTGTTTATGATAGAGGAAAACAGAATAACTTCGGTGTCTGTCGGTAGGGGGCTGACTAATAATGTGTCACAATCATAGAGTAGAATACTAATTAGTGATACAAAAAATGAAATGGATCAATACATACTGATATGTAAATGTTTCTAAGGTATGAGTGAAATAAAGTATATAGGAGAATGACGTGAAATAAAATATATATGGGATTATGGGCAATAAAAATTTCTCAGGAGGTGAATAAGAGGCTTGCTGTATCTGGGAATGAGTTGTATAGTGGGATGGACTTTTCCCACTTCATAACTTTTTTTCCCCTGTTTTCTAAATCATATACCTGTGTTATTTTCTGTATTGTATATATATTAAAAAAACATTCACTATCTTTAATCCAGAAAAGAAGTATCATTAATAGGTTTTTTGAATCTATAAAGTGCCATAAACAGTATTTTATGTAGTGATAAACAGTATTTTCATAATCACAAAACTTACAATTTTGTTTAATGTGTTTAAAACAAGTTTAGTTAAACTCTTTGTAAACAGTTAAAAAAAAAAAAAAAAAAAGGAATGCTCTCTTGCCCACAAAGTTGTTTTCCACATTGCCTGATAATTAGCACTGTTTTTAGCTCTCTATAATTCTACCAATTAGAGATTTATGACTTCTCTCCCTTAACTTTTTTAAATAACAAAAGGGGTACTTAATACGGGAACATCTGCAAAGCGTAGATTAGTGTACTAACTGGTAAAAAGCAATAAATTATAATTCTACTACCCAACAATTGTGTTATTTTTCTTCTATAGCAATTCATTTTTTACACAGTTGAGTTCATAAAGAATATACCACTTAGTATCTTCTTTATTTACTTAGCATTTTGTTTTCAACATTTTTCATGATATTAAAACTTTTTTAATTAAAAAAAAATGCTTTATCTAGAGATGGAAGTCTCTCTATATGTTGCCCAGACTGGACTCGAACTCCTGGGCTCAAGCGATCCTCCCACATCAGCCTTCCTAGTGGTTGGGACTGCAGCTGCATGCTACTGTGCCTGGCTTGTTTGTAAACATTTTGTGGAATGGTGGCATAATGTTCTGTTGTATGGATGCATTGTAATTTACTTGACCATGTCTCTAAAATTAACATTTAGATTTCTAATATTGTTGCTTTTATAAATAACAGGTAGCCTCTCTAAAAACTGCTTATAGTCTAGGAGGGATAATATTGTCTGGGTTATTTGTTGAAATATCCATCAATTGCTCTGTGCTCATAGAATTACTACTTGAAGGCTCAAGAAAGGGATGTTGGAAGGAGGGACCCTTTGGTAGTGGGACAGCAGCACAGTTAGGGCTAAGTGCCCTACCAGAGTGTAAGAAGTTACTAAGGGAGCCAAAGCTGTGTTATGAATGTCAGTTATTTTAATCATTGCCTACCTCCAGTCTCCTACCCAAGAACAGGGGAGGAAACTCATCTTCTTTATGACACAAGCCCCATTCACAGGACTCAGCACTTGAGCTCTTGCTATTATAATATATTGTATAGTTCAGCGATGTCAAGGATCATTTATGCTCTTGTGAGCTGAACTAGGAACTTAGCTTCAC